GGCGGCTCCCCGAGCCAGGCTGAGCTCCCCTGCGCTAGGGAGCCCTGGGGGAGCTTCGCGGGGGGCAGCTGCTAACCCAGGGACACAAAACGCTGTAAAACCTGGTGCCAAGCGTTGTTCTTGCAGGACTTGTTTGTAGGCAAGCACAAGGATATGTGGAGAGAAGCTGTACCCCAATACAAAACGAGTCCTGGCTTACAGGGGGTTTCTGGCTACACAAGCAAGCCTGCAAAAGCAGCTTTCACATTTTTCCCTCTGGTAGAGCACAGTTGATGTCTTCAAATTCTGACACCTCAGAGTTATTGATCTGCTTTCTACCAACTTAAATATGAAAGAAAACAACATAAAATAGAACTGACGCAAGGAGAACAAAGTCAGAAAGTAGAGGAGAAAGGCAGGAGCTGGCAGTGTCACCAGGAGGCACAGGGTGCCTTAGAAAACAGTCATTAAAAGCCAAAAATTGTTCTTATTACAACGGAATAAACATACTATATGATAATCAGTATTTTCTCTCTGAAAAGCCTCTTCATGGCAGCCTCTGTACCCTACATAGCAGAAGGGAAAGCCAAGGCAGACTGGTTAACTTCAGTTTGAACCCCTGAAGAGCAGGAAAGGAAAATAAATGCAGGAAAGTTCCCTAGACTGATATCCACACAGAGCTCACGCTGGAAACGCTGTTCCCCAACACAGGCTGAAACAGGTTCTGCTCCGATTCTGCAGAAATAGACGGTGCGAACACAAGTTCTGTATCTGTGCGTAAGGAGGAACAAACACAGACAGTCAGCACAACACAGAAGGATGTAAGAAAAAATCACCACGACAGGAAAGCCCTAATGTGGGTATCTGCATGATGTTATGCAACTGGAAAGGTCTTTCCAGGGAAAGGGAGTCGCTGCCACACGCGGGCACGGACAGCACGGAGAGGAAGGGACAAGCCCGTGGTCAGGAGGGCGAAGGAGCCAATCTGGAGGTTTATGCTGGCTTCCACCCCAACGTTGTGAGACGGGGCTGAGACCCAAGAGCTTTACGCTACGTGTGTGCACCGAGAAGTTTTCACCGCACCAGTGTGGAGGATGTTACTTACTAAACAGCGACTCGTCACCACTGAATTGAAGCCACGAGGCTGCTCCTCCAGGCCACGTTTTAAGTTCATGCCATTGCTAAATACGCTGCACGCACACAACGGCACAGAACGGATAACTACAAACCACTCGCTCCTTTCTGCCCCTCAGTCCAGCCGAGGAGACCTCGGGAACCCCGCCAGGCTACAGGAGCAAACGTAGCTGCACGTGCAGGAGGGCCCCAGACACCTGAACCATGGGCAGCCGCTGGGAGCTCGAGAGGGGCTTCTCTCCCAAGGAACCCTCCAGCGCTCCGAGAGGGCGCGAGGGGCTCTCGGAGCACGGGCTGCCTGCCCCGGGCAGCCCCTCAAGGACCAGCCGCTCTCTGGCTGCCTCTCCCGCGGGGCCAGGGCTGGCGCGGTCGCTTCTCCCCGAGGGGCCAGCGCCGACACGGTCACAGCACAGCAGAGCGCAGCCCCGTCCATGCAGCGAGCACCAGCAGTGCTGCCGCTCGTGTGGGCTCACAGCGCGGCGCTGTGCAGGACGAACGGGGAGAGGCTCCTTGTGCGCCCACCATCCGGACCTGGCCAGTACCAAAACGGTGCCAGGCCTCCGAGTCCGGCGCGAAAGGAGACGCTCGGGAGCCTGGACGAAGACATCGCACACGGCAGCTAAGGACGGCAGGCGCACGTGTGCACGAACACTTCCAAGGCCTTCCTGGACAGAACTGCTCATTAACATTCCCTTATTAAGGGACCTCATTAAAATGCAGCCTCTCTAAGCAAGAACGCACAGTGCTGCTGATGAGCAAGTTACTAAGTGGCCAAGTACTAAACTCGGAGTAAGTAAATAATTGGAGTGGGGAAATCAGCTCTGAACAGATTCTCATTTTCCAGCAAGAGCCGCTTGCTTAAATTCCGTTACTAGAGAGCACGTTCTGCTGAGCTGCACCACCTGTCCTGTTAAAGTCGCTCCCGTCCCCGGGAGGTGTTAAACGCTTGGCTCTCCAAGCAGACGCGAGGGAGCACAACCGCGGCCATGGTCAGAAGGACCTGAATCACTTCTCCAAAGTCTCCTCTGCTCACGGGTGCTGGTGTGGCCGGTCAGCAGCACCATCTCAACAGGGCTCAGGCAGAAGCGCTCCCTGCGCCCACGTGGCGTCGCTCCCGGTGAAACGGGGCTGGGTCACGAGCGCAGCCAACAACGCACGGGCTCCATCCCGGGGCAGCACGGGGCCAAGGAGCGCGACCCGCACCGCCCGCAAGGAGGCCGCCTGCGTGTCCCTTGGAACAGCGTCTGTACCCGGGAAAGCCAAAACTCCCGCTTAATTCCTTGCTGCCTGCCAGGTACTCTCAAACACAAACACACAAACATAACCCCTAAGTAGGACACCCCCAGGCTTCTGCTAGCTGCTGTCTGATATAGGTCACTACGGTTGGACACAAGAAGTGCCTTGCAGAGCCCATCGACATTCAGAAACAATGTTCTCTTTGCCAGTGATGAGTTTTCAGGTTTCTCTGAGCATTAGATCTACCAAAAGGAGCTCTTGAACGAGATGTCCCAGAGCACGCACCTGCACAGATCCTTCCACCGGCATGGAGGACACCAGCAACATTAGCCATGGCTCAAAACACCCATGTGAACCCGAAACGCCTTCCCCACCGGCCTTGGTGGGACCCTGGGTGCGTTAAACCGCGGTGCCGCACACG